CACCACCTGCAGCCTGCTGTGAATTCAGCCTTCGCTCTGCTGCTTGCGCTGAATAAATTGCGTCTCGGCTGCGTGGTGTCTCCGTGAGAGCAAGGCGGGAGGGAGCTGGATTGTATGCATCCAAACAGAACCGCAGACGCCTTCCCAAGGGCCAGGGCTGTCCCACTGTGTGTCTCCAAGCCTGTCCCGCCCTGGGTGTAACGTCACTGCCTATTTTCTTTAGCAAAGCTGCATTTCTTGCACTGTCCCCCACCTGCTTGCCAATAAAGCGTAGCCTGCAGGGAGATCTTTGCCTTTTTCTGGTGTCCCGTAGCCACCCTGGTCTCTTCCACACCCGTCACAATCCTTCCTGGGCTGGTACAATATTGATGTCCAAAACGGGTCGAGCAAGGCCCAGAGGAGAGTCAGACTCTCGTTCCTGGAACAGAGTACTCAGGACACAGCGTGGCCCTGCTCCTTGGGTCTCGCCCACCTAGGCTTGCAGCAGACTTCGGGGTGACTCTGTGTCACCTCTCCACTTCCCCTGGTCCTGGGGGAGCTCTGTGTAACTTACAGCAAGGCTGCTTTACCTGACCATCACATGGAGACGTCTGTACCCCTGCCTTCCACTCCTCTGTGATATTCTTCCTTCACCAAGAAGCTATGGGGCAAGAGTGGGGAAACTGAGGCCCTTAGTTTACCTGGATCTGGCCCCCCAGGGTCATGGCTCCCCCCCACAGCACTGAGGAGCCTGCACTGAGGAGAGGGGGACCGTAGCCAGCTTTCCAACCCCCAGCTCCTCACAGCGCCTCTTCTTCCCGAGCAAAGGCACAGGACTGGAAGCCCCCATTTCAGGGTTTCGGTGGAGCTGGGAAGCATGAGTTGCAGGGGTGGAGAAAGTACATATGAAAACATTATTTACTTCTTCCCTTTAGGGGTCACCAAATGAAATGAATAGGCAGCAGGTTTAAAACAAACACAAGGAAGTTTTTCTTCATGCAGCGCACAGTCAACCTGTGGAACTCCTTGCCAGAGGATGTCACGAAGGCCGGGACTTTAAGGGTCCATCTACATTGCATGGCTATTTCGGGATACTGAAGGTATCCCGAAATAGCTACCCCACATCTACACAGCCACCCGTGATTTCAAAAAACAATTTTGAAATGACAAGCGTGCTATTTCGGCTTCTCGGTAAACCTCATTGCATGAGGGATCAGCGATGGCTCGCATGAGTGAGTTTTATTGACATTTGGCACTGTGTAGATGTGCCAAATTTCAAAATAAGCGATTTTGAAATCGATTTGAGATGCGATACGCAATTTGCACTATGCAAATTGCGTCGCTTACTTGGAGATTAGGGTGCTGTGTAGATGCGCCCCAAGAGGGCTCAAAAAAGAGCTAGATAAATTCTTGGAGGACAGGTACTTCAATGGCTAGTCGTCAGGATGGGTAGGGATGGTATCCCTAGTCCCTGTTTGTCAGCAGCTGGGAATGGATGATCACTTAATGATTCCCTGCTCCATTCATCCCCTCTGCGGCACCTAGATGGACCTTTAGTCTGGCCCTTTGTAGCCGTTCTTTTGTTCATATCACAGTGAAGATTTCTCACATTTGGTGCAACCCAGAGGGTGAGTATGGGGCCCTCAGACACTGCCCCCCCCCAACTGCAATTCTCACTGTAGTCAATCTGAGTCCTGCTGGAACAAGAATAGTGGAAGGCAGGTGTAGGAGCTGTGTGGTCCAGGTTCTAATCCTGATTCAGCAACGCACTGGCTGAGGGAAGCCACTTCACCCCTCAGTGCCTGTTTCCCTGCCCAGGAGGTGTCTGTTCCAGCTGTCAGCTTTTACAGGCTGCTCTGTTCCCATGTCTGTGCACGGAGCCTCGCACAGCGGGGACCTTGATCTCCGGGGACAGCGACTGTGATAGACAGTCGCAAGCGAGGGCTGCAGGACCTCACACCCGAAGCACAGTGTTGTCATCCCATTCAGTGTATCCTGAAGTGTAACCAATGCACCCTCTTCTGCCAATGGCAGCTCCAGCGGGGGAGACGCTGCCCTTCGGGATGTCCCTGCAAACTGAGGCTTACTCCCTTCAAGCCAAATATTTGTCATTACAAAGCGCTCAGGTGCGCGCTTGGCTGAATCAGGGTCTGCAAAGGAGGTCCCCCTGGCTGCCAAGATCTGGGCTGTCCTTCGGAAATGCACTTGGCCCGGTTCAAAAGCCCTTCGCAAATAACACGTCTACCAAATAGCATCCCCTTGTCAACGTCCCTTTCATCCAAGCTACTACCCAGCAAGATCTGCCCGAGGGTTTGGAACATCCATGCTCAGCACTAAGACGTTTAAATGATACCGTTCCTCGATTAACTATATACCAGGTCACATTTCCCAATGTCATTTTATTCTCCTGATTCTTTGGAAGCCAGGGGTTGACACAAGATCTGGTGCAGGCCCTAAAACTCCCATGTCTAGGGGGTTGTTAGCAGGGCTAGGGGTGAAACAGAAAGGGTGGGAGTTTATTTTAACAATCAGGTCCCACTTCGTTACCCAGCCTTCCGGCTGATCTGAAATCTTTATCACCTGCTGTTTCTCGTCACAGAGTAATAGATAGAAAGGAGCAGAGTTTTGTCATGCAACCCCCAGGATCTGGAAAGGAGCAGAGTTTTGTCATGCAACCCCCAGGACCTGGACCAGTACTGGGACGGGTTCCCTAGGGAGATGGTGGAATCTCCATCCGTAGGGGTTTTTAAGTCCTGGCTTGACAAAGCCCTGGCTGGGTTGATTTAGTTGGGATTGGTCCTGCCTAGAGCAGGGGGCTGGACTTGATGAATCCTGAGGTCTCTTCCAGCTCTATGGTTCTATGATTGATTCTATGCTCACTCAAGTGGGACAGGGCAGAATTCGGCTACCCAGCTTACCATGTGCACAGACACAGGATGAACCGGATGGAGAGCGCCGATGTGGTGTGCTTGTGTAAAGTAGGGGGGAAAGTGACAATTTGCCCCTTAGGCTAGCTCACTGCACCCCACTCATGATCCCATCTCCACGGTGTTTTCCATTCTGAATTCCAGCCCACGCAGCTCTTAATCAGCCCATGATTTGTAAAGCAGCGGCAGCTCACATGGATGTGTTTGGTCTTTTCCCTGAGGGTGCAAATTCGTCTCAAAGTGCCGCTGTGCCCAACTGCAGGGTGACCAATATTCAGCCCTCAAGCTTGTGCCTCGACTTCTCAGAGACCATCAAGATCTCCCTGGTGATGTGAGAACTCCTTCCCATTTCATTAGGGCACTTAACTCCCACTCCAGGACTCTAACGAGCTAGTGCCACTTGCCACAATCCGTACCCAGAAAAGCAGCCGTCTCTCATTTTTGAAGGTTCTGCTATTTACTGAGACATTCTCTCTTCCTTTGCGGCTGATGCAGTGGGGATCAACAGTCCGGCTTTACTAACCCCAATGAATCCCTCCCCTAACTCTCTGAAAATATTGCCCCAAATTGTGTTGATGTAATGACATTACACCCTACTGCAGTAGAAAGGTTTTCTGGTGCAGATTTGGGATGCCCGGTGTGTAACTCATGCATACTGACTGCTACTCAGGTAAGGTCAAGACTTGTAGTTATAATGCATGGTTTCAGTTTTCAAACTAGTCAAGGGGTTTAGACACACAGTCCCCGGCGGGTGTCTAAATCCCATGGATTGCTTGGTAATGCCACCTTTGGGTGCCTCTACACAGCAGAGCTTAAGTCAAAATAAGCTATGCAAATTGAGCTATGTCAATTGCGTAGCTTATTTCAAAATAGCTTCTTTCGAAATTGGGAGCATCTACACAGCACTTATTTTGAAATAGAGCACTCTTCCTCCGACTTCCCTTCCTCCTTGTATAATGAGGCTTACAGCAGTCCCAGTAAGAAGTTCTCCAGCTTGACAGTATTTTGACATTATTTTGAAATAACTGCTGCATAGACGTGGACTAAGTTATTTTGAAATAATGTTCCTGTGTAGATGTACCCCATATGTATTTACAGTGCGTAATTCAACTTGTCCCCAATTATGGAACACAGATCTATTTCCAAATAGCCCCCCCACCCGCGCGCACACACACACACACACACACACACACACACACACACACACACACACACACACACACATTTCAAAATAACAAGCTGAACATCCACACTACTACCAAGCCTCTTATTTCAAAATAATCAGCTGGTCACCCCACACACACACACACACACACCCACACACTTTTTTCAAAATAACAAGCTGAACATCCACACTACTACCAAGCCTCTTATTTCAAAATAATCAGCTGGTTATTTCGAAATCTGTCTGCCTGCTTGTCCTATGTCTACACTACCAGGTTATTTCAAAATACGTTATTTCAAAATCAGTTATTTCGAAATGATCACTCCCAAAATACCCATTTCAAAATAAGCTGACTCCTCTTCAGAAGCAGGAGTGTTATTTCAAAATAACAGGCTTGGTAGTAGAGTGAACTATTTCTTGTTATTTTGAATTAACGCCCCAGTATAGCCATTGGCTCTGCCGATGGAGCCATGTAGTCTAGACACGCCGGAATTAGCTTATTTCGAAATAATTATTTTGTCAAGCAAAACGGCCGTATTTGGAAGGGCTGTGTTTATCGTTGTTAAGCAGGAGTGTTATTTCAAAATAACAGGCTTGGTAGTAGAGTGAACTATTTCTTGTTATTTTGAATTAACGCCCCAGTATAGCCATTGGCTCTGCCGATGGAGCCATGTAGTCTAGACACGCCGGAATTAGCTTATTTCGAAATAATTATTTTGTCAAGCAAAACGGCCGTATTTGGAAGGGCTGTGTTTATCGTTGTT